GACATTGTGTTGAATCTAAATGCGCTTTTACAGAAAATATATTTCGCAGAATCAAGATATTTCAGCTGAAAAGCCTTTTGGGACAAAAGTACTAAATCGAACTAAAGATCCCTGTCGACTTGATTACATTACAGTGTGTTTATATGTTAATTGGTTAACTCTCTTAAAGTAAGTTAACCCCTCAAAAAGCTCTAATATATAGACATGGCATTAGATAGCATAGCCCATTTAGCCGATATTTCAACAGGAGAGCATTTTTTATTTACACAAAATGCTGAGATGGGTTTATTTTGACATGGTAGAAGAATACAGGTAGATGATGCATCAACGCTTGGGAACATTGATATGTCAAAATTGTCTTTTCCAATTTAAGTAGATTTTTAAATGTTTTCTTATACGACGACATTCGGAGGTTATTATAATACGCGTTTTCAACAGTTTATACAAATTTAAAAAATTTTTCATTCAACTTTTTCAATTCCCAAATTGCAGCAGTTGTGTCGATGCGTCTATCTATATTCTTCTACCATGTAGTAAGGTAGAATTTCTAATTTTTGACAAATAAAATATTTATGTTTTTGGCCATAACATGTCTTAAAAATATCTGTAATATGAAGAAAGAGCAAAACAAAAAAAAAACGAAATAAAGATGAAAACGTGATTTCGCAAACGTCAGCCAAAAAAAAAAAAAAAACGTAACACTGCAAACAAATGTTCTGCCACAATAACGTGTGGTTACATATATGTATCTCATGTCTGAGAAAGAGCAAACATATGGGTGTGTTACGTGTGGGTGTTTCCGTATAAACAGGTGTAGTTTAATAGTTAGCCAAAATAAAGCCAAGTTTTGTATAAACAGTCTCCCCCCTTTCCAACGCCCTCAAACAATGTGTTCGCACACAGCTAATGACAACAGCAGACAGTATTAGCGGGCAATGCGTTCGTTACGTACGTCACATAACGTATTGTCTACATTACGGTGCTCACCAAGAGAAAGAGAGAGAGAGAGAGCAATGTAAGATATACCGCAAAATCACATGTTTTTTGACATTGTCTCCATTTGGCACTGCTGTTCAATGTCTGCATATGAAGTGTAGTTATACAAGAAGTAGGTACTCCCTCTCCCTCGTCACACTCCGGGTTTGTTTGTTAAGTTAGGTGTTATAACTGTTGTAATGTATTGACATCTCAAAAAGGAAAGAGTAAACCAGGCATCAATGTGACTTGCGTCAAAGGGAAAGATCCACAAATCAAGTCAGGTGTAACATAAATACGTAAACATAGGGGTTTTATTTTATATAAAATCACCAAAGCGGGGCTTACATGTTTTAGGTGCAAAAAGAAAAAATGTGACAATTTTAGTTACATTTTTGGGGAGAAAATTTGATATTTTTTATTAATGGCTTGGAAAATTAGGGGTCCTTCCAAATTTTGAGAATCCTCTTGACATGAACCAAACATAAATTTATTCAAGTAGCTATCTGACATTGTGTGTGACAACTTAAGAAACAGCTGTCATGCGAAGCAGAGAGTATGTCCATTGAGAGTTATTGAAAATTGTTTCAAGTGCAGCTGTTCAGAGATCATGAAAGGTCAGGGATGGAAAACTGAACAGTGTAGTACTAGTTGTTTAGTATTTCTCTAACTAAAATCAGTAAGGAAAAGTCAAAAGTTTGGCGGAGGCCGACTATATAATACCCTACACAACTATGCATATTTAGTAAAGGTTTGTTTTTTTTTTTTTTTGGAGTAGATCATGCCGCCTATAAACATAAGATTTCAGAAGGAACTAATATATGGGAGGCATATCCAATTCTGAATCTATTTTCACTACATTTGACGAAGAATTTTTATCTTTTGTACCAAATAACATTGCTACAGATATCACTTCGAGAATGATTATATTAAAAAATATATATATAAATCGGAGCCGAGTTCCGCCAGAATTCACTCCATTTGGGCTGATATTAGCCGTTATTTGCACAACAAACCTGAAATCGGACAAAGGATATATATGGGAGCTATATTCAAATCTTAGCCGATCTCTATAAAATTTGGCAAAGGTACTTCCGAGCTCTATAAGATATCTGGTATCAAATATTATTCTTGTGGAGTGTATATTACGCATTTGAGGGACTTAAAGGCCAATTCGGATGAAACATATATATGGGTGCTAAAGCTATATCTGAACCGATTTTCTCCAACTTTGATGTACTTGCTCCGAGACTAAATTCGGTCGGATGTGCCAAAATTTAGGTCATTTGGACTGATATTGGCCATTTGGTGCACAATTAACCTGAAATCGGTTGAAGATATATATGGGAGATATGTCCAAATCTGATCCGATCTTGATACAATTTGGCAGAGGGTTTTCTTTGCTGTGTCTAATATCTGGTACCAAATATCATCCTTGTGGAGTGCATATTACGAATGTTATGGGCTTAGACACCAAATCGGATGAAAATATACACTGGTGGCCAAAACTAAAGCAACTTAAATCGCAAAGACAATAAATGTCCTGTAACTTCTACAAAAATAAACAAATCGTAATTATTTTTCCAGTTTTAAATGAGGGGTTTAATTCACTTTCAAGAAACTAAAAATAAAAATACAAAACTAAGTTTGAACGAAAAATAATATGTAGAAAACTAAAATGACCCAATTTTTGCTTGGTCAAAACTAAAGCAACTTTTGATTTTTTATTTTAAAATAATTAAATTTTGGCTAGTAGTCGATAGCATAACCAGTATTTTTGATAGCAGCTGCACACCTACGAGGCATTGAATCTATAACACGCTCAATTTGATCCTTGGGTGTGCTTTCCCAGGCACCCCGAATTCTTTAGAAAATGTTGTGCTTATTTATTTCCGAATCTCTCTTGATCTTCCTATCTACGATACTCCAAAGGCTTTCTAAGGAGTTTAGGTCAGGTGATTGTGCCGGTCATAACAAAACATGAATTTTTGACTCCCGCAACCAATATTTGACAAGTTTTGATACAAGTTTGGGATCATTGTCATGCTGAAACACACAAATCAGCCCAATATTTTACTCAGCGTAAGGGAACAACGTGATGTCCAACACATCTTTGTAAACAAACGGATCCACAACTTCCTTTATTTTATGGATAGACCCAAATCCATAGAAAGAAAAATAGCGCCACGCCATTTTTGACCCTCCCCCATGCTTCACTGTACCTTTGCAACACTGCGGCTTGAGTCCTTCATTTTTTGGTCTTCTCACCGTAAAATTTTTCACGTCTGAGCCTTTAATATTAAATATGAAATAATGTTTTTTCCATTGAGCTTGATTCCACTTAATATTATCGTTTCCGAAAGCCTTTTTGATTTTTTCAGATATAAATGGTTTTTTGATGTCTTACGGGCACGCAGACCAGCTGCCACTACTCGTCTACGCACTGATCTCGAGCTTATATCCAATGATTGCTCTCTCAACAATCCGGTTGAACTCTTAAATGGTTGTTTTTTATTTCTCTCACAATTTGTGGATCAGTATGGGCTGAAGTTCTTCACGGCCTTCATCCGTTATGGACTGTTACTACTGATCCAGTTTCAAAAAACCGACTTAGTGCACAGACATAATTATGAAATCACATAAATATTTATGAAATATTTCTCGGAAATCATTTTCTGTGATATGTTGTTTTGATAATCACTGATAATTTGCTGTTTTATTCAGGTACAGTATTTGTTTCTAGCCATTTTTAAATTTTTTTTTGGCAGTACTTAAAAAACGAAAAGAAAAACATATACTGTTGTAAAAAACTTCTCAAAAAGGATTTATGACAAGCGAAATTGTCGAAGGAAGCAAAAAGCGATAAATATCACAGTAAAAACAACTGAAATTGCAGAGGTTATATGAATGTACAACAGAGTTGCTTTTGTTTTGTCCAAGCCAAAATCGGGTTAATTGACTTTACCAAACATAATTTTTTTATATAAAAATGAATTTTGGTTTTATGTTTTAGGTTTTTAAAAAGTGAATAAAGTACCTAATTTAAAACAAGAAAAACTTTCCCATTTTCTTAATTTTATGAAAAAGTTACAGGGCATTCATTCTCCTTGTAATTTCAGTTGCTTTAGTTTTGGCCACCAGTGTATATGTGGAAGCTTTAGTTATATCTGATCTGATTTTCACCAAATTTGATGTACTTGCTTCTTGTTTGAATTCAGTCGGTTGTGCCAAAATTCAGGTCATTTGGACTGATATTGGCCATTTGGTGCACAATTAACCCGAAATCGGTTGAAGATATATATTGGAGATATGTCCAAATCTGAATCGATCTTGATACATTTTGGCAGAGGTATTTCTGGGCTGTATCTGATATCTGGTACCAAATATTATTCTTGTGGAGTGCATATTACGAATGTGAGGGACTTAAAGACCAAATCGGTTGAAAATATATATATGGGAGCTTTAGCTATACCTGAACCGATTTTCACCAAATTTGATGTACCTACTTCTTGACTAAATTCGGTAAGATGTGCCGAAATTCAGTTTATTTGGACTGATATTGGCCATTTGGTGCACAATTAACTTGAAATCGGAGGAATATATATGTGGGAGCTATATCTAAATCTGAACCGATTCTCGCCAATTTCAATAGGTTTCATCCTTAGACCAAAAAAATATTGTTTGGAAAGTTTCATCTCAATCGGATAAAAATGCAACCTGCAGCATTTTGTTCACAAGAATACAAGGACAGACGGACGGAGGAACGGATACCCAAATCCACTCGGAAATTATTCTATGAAGATCCTCAAAAATAACTATGGTTCTATCTCGCTTTCTTCTCCATGTTACAAACAAATGCCCATAGACATAATACCCTACACCACTACGTTTTGTGGGGTATAAAAAGTAGCCTATCCATATGGAGAACATCTTACAATTTCCATAATTACTCAAAAATTTAAATTATACCGTTAATATAACATTGTTTACCGTTATAACAAGCAGTTACTTGAAAAAAAACTCACCTCTTTTAATTCCTTTTTTTTTAATAAAGTAAAATTTCCCAAAAAAATAAACTGGCGTAAAATTCTGCAAAGAAAACAAAAGAACACAAAAAAAGAAAACAAAATTATAATCAATGAAAAATATTGTTTTTTTTTTTCAATAATTATTGTTGGCTGTTCCCAGATCATGTGTTAAACATGAATTAAGCAAATAAAAGGTGTACAAATTCCATCAAGAGGCATCATTAGAGGGGAAACGAGCGAGAGAGAGTACTTCTCCAAAGAGTTACCGTTTCACCGAGAAATAACAACACACAAAAATAGAAAACAAAAGTGTGAGAGCAAAAGATTGGGATCCCCAAAGAAAAGAGAGTCGTCAAGTTTCAGTTGAGTAACAAAAAGGCAAAACAATAAGAAAACATAAAAGAAATCTTCTGTGAACCCCGATATCAACACCTGGTGTCTTTTCGTCTTCTTCGTCTTCTTCTTCTTCTTTTCTGTTTTTATATCTTTTTATGTTACACTATTCCAGTTATTTGTGGCTTCATGAAGTGGCCGGCCGTTTTTGACACCATAGCAAGTAATGTTGGCCGCCGTTACTTCCGCTTATTCTACTTAATGTCTCTTTCTCTCTCACACCTTGAGCCGCACGCACATCCATGACATGGTAAGTGTGAGAGAAAGAAACTTTAGTGGTATTATTATTGAAATTTCTTTGACAATTATGCATGTGTCCCCTTTAAAAATTATGTTATTATTTTACTGCTGTTGTTGGTGTTGCGAAATAAGTTCATTGCTAAAAAAAAAATAGAAGAAATTAAAACAAAGGGGAACTTTGCAAAAACACAACCGAATGAATGGCATCATTTCAGTGAGGGGGGATTGGTGTGTGTGTGTTTGTAGGGTTATTAAACTCGCCTTGATTCTAATTGGCATGGTGAACGTCACAGACATGGGGGTATGTTTACTCTCTCGGCTATGTTTCACAGGGGGCAATTGTTTTTAGGAATAAAAAACAAGAATCAGGAATTAAAAATAACGGAAATCACTCTCGATCTCCAAAGAACATGGATTCTCCTTCAAGGGGATTTGGGAGAATTCACAATACAGACCTACCACAATGGTGTAATGGAAATGAGTTTATTTGAAAGCATTTTTGGTTGGAAAATTTGTTTTGCAAATAGCGAAATATTTGAAAGCAGGGTGAGCCCATACAAAATGTTTACATCTTTATTAGTCCATAAACAAAAAAAAAAAAATTAAAAAACGCTAAAAATTACGATATTGAAGAAAAGTGAGATAGATAAGAAGGTAGTGGAATTAATTAATTGTAACTTATTCTTCAGTCCTCCTTCCTCAACTCAAAAAACTCAATTTTCTATCCGAGAAACTTAATTGCAATGAATTGGGGATCATGGTTTAAATTTATTGCTCTATTCCAGATCTTGGCGAGAATCTACTATTTTTGCAATTTTTTTTCTAGTTTCATAAAGGGAAAATCGGCTTCCATAGTTAAAACTTTTACATTGATAGGTTGAGTCTTTTCTACATAAAATATTTTTTTTCGGAAAATTATGAAATTATGAAAGAAAAAAAAACCAGCAGCCAAAATGTCCATTCACAGAGAAATAAAAAAGAAAATTACATTCAAAATGACAAAATTGTTTTTGGTCGATTTTTTTCAATTAATTTTTTGGTCGAATTTTTTTCAATTTGTTTTTTGGTCGAAATGTTTTTTCCGGCAAATACCGAACCTTTTATTTAAGAAAAAAGGCAGCTGGACATCTTTTTCAGTGGTAAAAGTAGCTTAAAAAAACAAAAAAAAATTGGTCGGATTTTTTTACTTTTAAAAGAAACAAATTTTTTTTTTTTTTTTGCAAAACCTTAATCACTTAAAAGGTATGAGTAGATATGTTATAAAATTTGCATTGAAAGCTTTTGACAGCTTCAAGATATAAAAAAATGGTCGGATTTTTGTTGTAAAAAAAGAATTCTTATTTAAAAAAAAAATTAAAGAAAATTTTTGGTCGGAGTTTGTTTTTTATCATTGCTTGCAAATTTTTGGAAAGTGAATTATCTATTAACAAATTAAAAAAATTAAAAAATGCAAATTTAAACTGACGAAACGATTTTATTTGTTGTTGCAATTTTTCCCCATGTTAAAAAATTACAGAAGAACTACTGGAAATGTTTTCATTTTGAATTCAGCTTTTGACCTATTAAAAAAAAAATCAGACATTTATGGTTATATTTTTTTTAAAAAATGTAAATAAAAATAAAATACTTGAAATTTGATTTCGGCTTTTGGCAACTCCAAAATATTTTAAGAAATTTTTGGTCGAATTTCTTTTGTTTTTTTGTAAATTTTTCCCATGTTAAAATTAACAGAAGAGCTACTGGATATGGTTTTATTTTGAATTCAGCTTTTGAGCGATTCAAAAAAAATTAAAGACATTTTTGGTCGGATTTTTTTTTTCATTTTTTTTTTTCTATTAACAGAAAATCATAATATAGACTTCTCGAAATGTAATTTTTCCTATAATCAAAAAAAAAATGACTACTTGAAATACTTGAAATTTATTTTCGGCTTTGGTCCGCTCCCCAAAAAGTCAAAAAATTTTTGGTCGGTTTTTTGGTAGGAATTTTTTTCTTATTTTTATTTTGATCTCAAATTTTGCCCGTTTGAAGAAATTTTTAGGTCTATTTTTTTTTATTTGGAAAGAAAATTATTTTTTTATTTTATTCGGAAAATGAATGGATCAAGAAAAATTTAGTGCATTAAAAATGTTCCATTTCATTCGTGCTCTAATGTGAACATCCTATAAGACATTGAATTCTTCGTAGGAACTATCCTGTAGATCTAGAGAAACGAAGGTAAACAACTGTCAACATCTTTAGCAAAAGGTTATTGTACCCTTCTCCATTCTCTATTTTACCCACCCCAATACAGCACAATACAACACAATAAAGCCAATTAATCACATTATAAAGTAAATAGTTTTATCTGTGATTCTTCTTGATCCCTCTTTTCTTACGAAACATTTACACTTCCAAAAAAAAAACTTATTTATATTCATAGAAAACCCCAAGGTTTGAATGACAACTTTAAACAGAGAGAGAGTGAGAGGGAGTGTGTGTACGTCGTTCATGGTCCGTTATTGGTGTATAGAGAGTGAGAGTGATTGAGTTGCCTTAACAAAAAAGAGAAATTAAATTAAATGAATGAATGGATGATGGAAAGAGACTAGACATCCATCCCCAACAACAATAACAATTCATCATCACAACAACAACACAAATGAATGTGAAATGTGTACTGCTGCTGCCGCTGTGTGATGATGACCTTGAATTTGGACAATAACATTGGGCTTCGTGTCGGTCGGTCGGATGGCTGCCCTCATAGACGAGACAAACAGACAGACAGCCAGCCAGCCAGCATCCAAGAAAAGACGTGTTGCCACCAACACATCTGTGGCTGCGTAAAGTAGACATCTTTGTTTGTTGAGGAGCAAAGTTAAATAACCTTTTTGGATGAATTATTTTCCAAAACACAAAACGAAACAAAATTTTATCTCTAAAGGACATTGCCCTACCTTCAATTTATATATGGCTTTAACATGCGTTCCCATTTTTTTTTCATATTTTTTTTTATTTTTGGAATAAAATGTTGAACTCTCAAAGTTGTACGAAACATAAAAAGGATATTCAACTGTAATTTGAGAGGTCATGTCTGGCCGCAATACATTAGCAGAGAGAAAAGAAAAAAAGGATATTTCTTTATTCGATAACGAACATGCACATGTACCACCGGCAGGCAGGCCAGTCACATACTGGCAAAGGCGTGTGGCAGCTGATGTGCGTATTAGTTTCCCTATACGAAGACGGTGTTGTGGAGTATCACCATTCTTCTGACGGGATAAAAGGATGCTTTGTTTTAAACAGCTGTTCGTTTTTGGGGATTATCCTCTTCAAAAAAGAAAAACATGAAATAAACCTGTTTCGTGATAGACATGTGTCTCTGTGGGAAATAAAATTCATTGATCTGTAATAAAAGGCAATGGGAAAATGGTTGTAAAGGAAAAAACCAAAAACATTTTTGAATTTTTTTAGAATCCTTTTAATAAAGTAAACATCTAAACTAGATTACACCCTAATTAAAAATAAGAAACGCCTTATTTACTTAGTAAGTTTTTTCGGGAGATTAATAAAAAATTCTGTATAGTTTGAACGTACTATAAGAAAGCAACCACAAGCAGCTAATCGCTTGGTACAAAACCAATCTATTTAGCCCTACTATGCCCCATTTCAAAGACAGGTCTTTGTAGTTGAGTTCCAAAACGACGCTAATGAACCCTATTTTACTGCAATCAAGGAATCTATGTTATTTGACACATATTTAACAAGTAAAGAAAGCATAAAATCCGGACGAAGCCGACTTTATGATACCCTACACCCCTTTACATATTTAGTAGAGCTATATATAACAAATAAAAAGTAAAAAATTTAACAGATCGGATGAGCAGTAATATGGGAGCTATAGCTATATCTAAACCGATTTTCAACAAATTTGACATAATTGTCTCTAGACTCAATTTAGTCGTAAGTGTCAAATTCCATTTCATTTGGGCTAATATTACACGTTCGGTACACAATAAAAGGCAAATCGGACGAAGATATATACTATATATATCCAAGAGATATATCCAAATCTGAACCGAACTCTATAAAATTTAGCAGAGGTATATCTGAGCTATATTTGATCATTTTCCCCAAATATCGTTGTTACAGAATGCATATTACGGCTGCGGAGGACGAAAAAAAACAAATCGGATGAACAATATATATGGGAGCTATAGCTATATCTGAACCGATTTCGATCAAATTTGGCACACCTATTTCCAGCTTTAATTTGGTCGTATATGCAAAATTCCATCCCATTTGGGCAAATATTACACGTTTGGTGCACAATAACAGGCAAATCGGACGAAGATATATATGGGAGGTACATCTAAATTTTGACCGATTATCTGCAAAGTCAATAGCGGAGGTGGTCCGTCCTTAGGTCAAACAAATTATTTGTGCAAA